ATTTACAGTTCTTGGTGCCATTAGTGCTTACGGTTTTTATCGTGTAGGACAGGCAAATTTGGAAAAAAGGTAAGTTGCATACATTAAGCTTTACTGTCAATTTTAAAATATACTAACAAAGGTAATTTAATGCAAATGAATATTATTTGTGACTAATAGAGAACTTCATCGTGAAAACCTTTGGTCACGTATACATTTGATTCCGTTGCTTACAGCCGAATTGGATCGCGATACATATCGTCGTAATCGTGCTGCATTAGTGCGTGAAGCTGAAATAATGAAAGACGTGCCAGGTTGGAAAGTAGGCGAAAGTGTTTATAATACTAAGAGATATGTAGGACCAACACAGATTGTAGTCCCTGAACCAAATTAATTATCGAAAAACAATAGCATGTTTGTATCTATACAATATACATAAGACATTTAGGTTATTTTTATAATTAAAAAATGATTTTTTTTTTTTTTTTTTACTAATTAGTGACATTATAAGATCAAAATCTTTTGATCACTCAAAATATTTAAAATAAAAGTCTATATAATATACTAAATTTATGTAGGCAAACTTATATCTGAGCCTTCTTTTTTCTAGCCAAATATCTAGCCTTTGCATCAGATATAGCTTGCTCATCGTTCTTTTTTGCAACGAATTGTTTTAAAATTTGTTCCTCCCGGGCTTTTTCCTCTGCTTCTTTTTTCTGTTGAGTTTCCAAAATTTGCTGTTCCAGTTCTCTGCTCTGTCGTTCACGACGTTTCATTTCATCACGATTCTTTGAGCTATATTTATCCTCACTAGCTTTTTTATTATAATAATTTGTCCGTGAATCTGTGCTATGAGAATTTTGATGAAATTATTTGCTTTTTGGTAACATTTAATCCCGGTGACAAAAGTTGTCGTTTATCTACAATTTGTTCGTCATCATTCAATACTACCATTTTACCAGTCGCCCGTGCTTGATTTGCAAGTTCTTTATCAGTTTTTAAATGTTTGTTGTCATCTTCGTCAGAATTATCTGATGCTGAGCTGGAACGTGCACGTTTTTCTGTTTTTTTAGATGATAATGCCGAGCGACTTGCTTCAATGGCTGCAGCCTTTGCCGAACTAGTTTGGTCCAATAAATTTCGATAAAAACTGGCCATATTTTTCCCTCCCACTCCATCATTTTTTTCTAAATATGATAAATTGGCAAATTAACTTCATTTATTATTAATTACACAAACATTAACATACCTATAATATAATTTTAACTATACCTCTTAGCTTTTCTTCTTCTTCAGCCTTTCTCAATTCCTCTTGCTGTTCCTTATATCTATTATTTTTGAAAAAAATATATATATATTTAAAATCTTTAAAACAAGTTTAAATAAATAAATAAATGACTCACGCTGATGTGACAAAAGTTTCTTTATCGTCAAATTCATCTCCTTCAGCCTCTCGTTCTTTTTGAATTTTACGTTCTTGTGCACGAATATAATCCCGTTGTCGAATTTCCGCAGCTTTTAATATATCGTCGAAATATTTAGGCTATAAAAGTAAAATTGTTAACGCTATATTAATATTGAACTATTTAGTGCAAAAAAAATATCATACCTTTTTAACACTACCGTCGTTTTTTCCTTTAAGCTCTTCCTTTCTTTTTCGTTCAACGCTTTTCATAACATCATATACTTCGTCATATGCAAATACGGTAGGATCTTCTTCTAAAGCTGCTTTATACTTTTCTTGAACTGATTGATTTATTGAATTCGAAGATAATAACTGCTGATTAACAATTTTTGTATGTTTATTTTTATTGGAACTCGTATTAATGCTAGAATCTTCCTCATTCTTAATGTCTTCTTCAGTAAAGATTGAAATTCTTTTTGTGGGTGGTTTTTTAGAGCTGACTATATTAAGACCGTATTTTAAAGGTTTTTTTTGTTCCATTGGGTCGACGATTTTTAAATTTTGTACGTATATACCGATACCGATACGTATTGCTGTATCGGGTATATTGATATTCAACGCATCAAATCATTGGATAATTTTTTTGGCCAATTAAATAAATTACGTGTCATTCCTCACAATCACGATAAAATTTCTCGAAAAAAAAAAATAGGTTAAGTAAAAATGTCGTATTTTCTTCCTCATTTGACTAATGGTTAGTATTCATTTCAACCTTATTCTAATACGATCATTTTAACTAATGTTTTTTTTCCTCGCGATTTCAAATGTACATAGGATGGCAAGTAGATCAAGCAATTTTATCAGAAGAGGATCGGGTAGTTGTTATTAGATTTGGGCATGATTGGGTAAGATTGAAGCTTTTTCTCCGCCTTATTCACTAGACAACTTTAGTAATAACAACAAAATATTCACACAATTTATAGGACCCAACATGCATGAAAATGGACGAAACTTTATATGGTATAGCAGAAAAAGTAAAAAATTTTGCCGTCATTTATTTGGTAAAAATAGTAGTTGTTGTAACTCATATGCAGTGACTTATTCCATTTTATGATTAAAAATTAAATGGACGAATCTTTTTCATTTACAGGTTGATATTACGGAAGTTCCAGACTTTAATAAAGTATGCTAACTGAATTCATTTAAATAACTTTTAGTTTCTCAAATTTATAATCTTTATATATATATATAGATGTATGAACTTTATGATCCTTGTACCGTTATGTTTTTCTTTCGAAATAAACACATCATGATCGATCTAGGAACGGGTAATAATAATAAAATTAATTGGGTTAGTAACATATATTTACTTCAATAATGTACAACGAAATGTTATTTAATCTGTTTTTTTTTTTAATTTTTTAGGCGTTGGAAGATAAGCAAGAACTTATTGATATTATAGAGACTGTTTATAGGGGTGCGCGAAAGGGGAGAGGTTTAGTGGTTTCACCGAAAGATTATTCTACGAAATACAAATATTGATTTTTTTTACTTTACAGATAGATTTGAATACACTAGTTTAATTAATGTATAAGTCACACATTTAACCTATACAGACACCTTGTTTATGAACAATTATTAATGTAAAAATGATGTGTACTGAGAGTAAAGAAAAAAAAAAAGAGAATTATAATGTCAATTCATAACTAATGCATTCGCTAAGATTTTTTTTAAATCATCGAAAATTGAATTATTTTCGTTCTTAAAGGGAACATGACATCAAGATCCAAAAATTACTTGCTAAGAATAATTCACATTTGTCAACTGAAAGCACCTTTTTTTTGAACCCGATTATTGAAATGTTATTATAACATAGGCGGAGGTATTAACCACTACGAAATTGCCGTTAGAAAGGATTAAAGGAAATTTCCAAAGCATCCGGCGCTTAAGTACGCAGAACAGATGACAAAATAATAATATAATGTTTCTTTGGTGTTCTACAACTGCCGGGCACAATATCGTATCGGAACTTGCAGAACTTGTACTCGGTTTATCGTTTTCGGATTAATGTTCATCAAATATTTGACTTGTATTTATTACGATAATAAACAAAGTTCATGTGGAAAAAAAAAACATACGGTAGGATATTTTAGAATAATAGTCTTTAATAACTTTTATTAATCATTAATTGTTAATTGTTAAAAAAAAAAAAAAAAAAGGATTTAATCCTCCAATTCTTCAGGGGGAATATCTCTGTCATCAATAGAATAAATGTTTGCAGCCTAGAACAGTTAGAACATCACATGTTAACCAAAAATAAATTAGTAAATAATGTTGTTTAACAATGAAAAGTTATTAAAATATAATAATTATCTTACTGGTTGCCAAACTTGAATTATATTATCTTCAGCAGTACTAGAGATCACCCAAGGTATATGAGGATTCCAACTGAAATCAGATATTTTATTAGTGTGCCCTCCATGCATAAACTGTGATGGAAATAAAGGAATTTTAATTTAAGGTTCATATCATTAAATTTGCCGAATTAAAGAAACGGTAACAAACCAATAATTCTGGAGGCCCTTCATCAGCATCCTCTGCCGTTTGCTCTGCGCCAATTCGACTTAGATCCCATATATTTACCCTTCTATCCCCTCCAGCGGATGCTAGAATAGTTTCGTCATGTGGTGACCACTCAACTTGCAAGACTTCTCCTTGGTGATGCACTAACGTGTGTAGTTTAATTTTGAGATTACGAAGATCCCACAAATTGAGTGTCTAAAATAAATCATGAAAAAAATGTCATGTCAAATAATTTTTATATGTTTCTCAAGTCGTTTTAAAATTCGGATAGGTTCATACCTTATCCCCTGCACCCGTTACTAAAATATTTTCATTCATTGGATTCCATGCCAAAGTGTTGACTTCACTTGGATGTGCAATAACCGAATGGGCAGGCTTATCAGCCTTATCTGAACGTGTATCCCAACTAATGATTAAGTATTAAAATGTGAATATCCCACAATTGCTTAAGCAAACATAAATGAATATAGTAAATTTACATGAGCAATTTTTGATCATCACCAACTGAAGCAAACAGATGTTCGTCTAGTATATGCCATGCTACATCCTATAATATAATAAATGAATATTAATCACACCATTAAATAAATAATTGAAATAAAATGGTACATTTATATAAGCAACCTCAACAAATGCTTCATGGCCTCTATAAATACGGAATGGATCCATCGTTCGTGTTTCTTTAGTACAACCAGTAATGTCCCTATAAAATAGCAACATCAAATTAAGGTCATAAAGTCCAATTTCTCCAATAGCATTTACATACCAATGGCAAATCGTGGTATCTTCAGATGCATCTAATATATGGCCTTCTTTTAATGGGCTCCACGATAATCCATATCTATTAATTATGAATGTTAGGTAACTACTAAATTTATAATGAAATTTTATTGAAAAAGCATGAGAAAACTCATTTACCCTTCTTTTACATGACCTCGTAATTTCAGTTCAGGTTGACAACCACCATCAGTCAGAGGTTTTAATGGATGCTTTGTACGGTCGAATATATAAACATCTCCTGAAACTGTCTTCGTGGCGATTATATCTTGCTTTTGAGGCATATACCGTGCTCTATTAACTTCACCTTCATGCTTGATTTTTTGAACGACCTTAATTCTACTTTCAGTGGTACCTCCATAACCTCCTATTTCTATTTAAGATATTTGAGACATGAAACAATAGCACTTATCAATTTCAGCTTATAAATACGAGAAGTCTTGTATAATGTTTGTGTACCTCCTTTCTCTTCATCAAATTTTCGAGGATCAACGTTGACATCGTTTTTTGGAAGTTGAATATGTGCGATTTCAACGTAATTTTGGTCGTTATCTGATGTGTGTGTACCAATTAATAAGCGCTGAACAGTGTAATCTTTTCCTTCAGGCCTAAATAGTGTTAAAAAACATATCAAAATCAATCTTTCTTCACTTGATAGTCCCATCGAGTTGATTAACTAGTGCTAACGTTTCTTAAATTTCGGAAAATATCGAAGAATTCTAAAAATAATATACCTATCAATATCTTGAAACCACTGACACGTTAAAGTTGGCCATACAAGTGCGTGAGTAATGACCAAATCATAAAGAAATGGTGAATTCTTCTTCCAGATTTTATATTCTTCATTTATAATTTTCTCCTCAATAGCTGCACGTTCCTGCTTTGTCTCCTCTTTTTAGAGAGAATATTTAAAACGTGCTTAGCCAGTAACTAAAGTTTATAAAATAGTCTTTAGAAGGGAAGGAAGGAGTATAGTAGAGTACCTGTAGAGTCTTCGTTGTATGGTGATGAGGGTGAATCACTATACGAAGTGGCCATTGAGAAAAAGAAGAAAAAAAAAAAACTATAATTAAAGACGCGAACGTCGAAGAATACTTAAAGTCACGACATTCGAGTATTTCATATTAGTCGCACAATTGAAATGAACACGTGATATTCTTACCAGAATTCGAATAAAATTTGGTCAAAATTTGTCAAAATTATGTAATTTTACTTAAATTGACTTAAACAGTTTAGATGTCTTTCTTTTTTCATTTCCATGATGTAAAAATTTAAGTTTTTTTTGGGACAGAAACTCATCTATGGTATATAGAATTGACACTATCAGTTGTAGGTTGGTATCTTTTCTTTAATGTGCAAATAATGTTTTCGTTGGTACCTCAAGTTGGTACCTCCAGTATTCCGAAATTTGCCGTATAAACCAATTGGTGTATGAAGATATGCAAGATTGTCACACAAATGAATCATCCAACACGACAGAACTATTTCGCTAGAAACTTACATTTGTAGAGATTCATAGGTGTTTGTCCCACTCGTTGAACAATTGTCTTATATATTTAATACAAAAGGTAAATAAGGAAGTGAGAAGTTTTATTTTGAGCTTGAGATCATGGCTTTTTATGGGTTCAAAAGGTGGCATAAACGTGCTGTCAAAGTTTATTGTGGTGAGCTTTAAGGATGTTGGTTTTTGGTTTCGCTATGTTGTCAAGAGGTATTTTCTATACATAGATATATAAAGTCATTATTTTACAACTCTGATACACTACAAAGAGTTTAGAGTAGGGGAATTATCAATATTAAGCGCGCTGGGTATCAACTATTTAAGTGCACTTATTACAAATTTACTCTTCAAATTTGATCAGAAAACAAATTGTAAAAAATCACCAATTGTACATTCTTAATAAAATAGAGGATAACACTAATTTTGCAATTCTTTTATGCGATCTTTATAGAAATCAGATATTTATTCGCACATACTGATGGCTTTTTCTTTTTTTTTCTTTTTTTATTTTTTTTTATTTTTTTAAATCTTTATTATATAAGCCCCATACAATCTTATTTGTTACTTAATTCCAGGTCACCAATTTCATCAATTTGTTAGAGATAAGGTATGGTAACTGATTACTAATCTTAATTATTACTCATATAAATATATTCGATTTTTTTTTTTTCATGCGATATTACTAACAATATTCCCTTTCGTTTGCTTTTTTGGGGATTGATTTTCATTTTATAATTTTTTATAATACAAACACGCATAGTTAAAACATAATAGAGATGAGCAACAAACATCCGTATAATACTCGGATGACGTCTCAATCCAGTTCTAAGATGATGAATGTACCTGTTTCAACACATGAAATGATATCAGTAGCGCGGAAAGAAGATATTCCCTCCAACAAACATAATTTTGCTCAAATTCCTTCTCGTTCACAGGGAATGTCATCAGAGTCACTACGCATGAATTCAAAAATTAAAAATACTTCCCGTACGAAAGGAAAACAATCTACGAATCAGTCAGGTCCTGTACAACCAATTGATTTTTCAACTATAAGAACAACATACCCTTATCAAGATGAAGTTAAATCTAAGCGATTGTATAATCTTCCTGAGGGCAAGACATTTTATCCCACATGGACAGAATTTCAAGACCCATATGAATATATTGCTAGTATAACTAAAGAGGGATCACGCTACGGTATTATAAAGATCATTCCTCCGGAAGGATGGAAGCCAAATTTTTCGTTGGAGACCACTGTAAAGTATTATTATATTTAAAATAATTTTGATTTTATTAAAACTGAATTTACCTTTATTAATTTATACTAAACATTATAAATATAGCGATTCAGGTTTAAAACAAGGAAACAAAAAGTTAACACTATGGAAGGTGAAACTAGAGCCAAATTAAATTACATCGAACAATTACAGTTGTTTCACGCACAGCAGGGACGTCCGTTCTCAAGATTACCCCAGTTAGATAAAGCACCTATAGATTTACACAAGCTTGCCAGAGCTGTAGCTGATCGTGGTGGTCCTCACGAGGTTTATTTATTAATATACCTAACTGTTAATCATAAATTTCAAGAAAACTTATTTCATATAATGACATTTAACAATTTTTCTACTAGGTATCTAAGAATAAGCAATGGGCTGAAGTTGCCCGTGAGATCAAAGAAGGTGGATACTCGCAAACTTGTACTTCAGCATCTAAAACTATAAAAGAACGATATTTCGATTTCATTGATCCATATGAAAAGTATATAGCTGAGGCGAAACGAGAGTGCAAATTAGGCAAACTTGACATTAAAGTTGATCTTACAAAACCCGATGACGTATGTGGAAAATGTGGAAAATTGACAGAAGGCAATGAAGATGTATTACACTGTGATGGAGATTGCGAAAAACCATATCATATAGATTGTCTTAATATTAAAAAAGATCATCTTAACCCCGATGCACAATGGCATTGCCCAATGTGCCTTTTTTTAACTGGTACTGATTACGGCTTCGAACCTGGTAATGGGTTCACTCTGAGGGATTTGCAACAAACTGCTGATGCCTTTCGACAACGTCATCTTAAAAATCATCCCGTACCGCCTGAGGCATCAATGGAGGATCATATTGAATCCGAATTTTGGCGACTTGCACATTCGATGGATGATAATACAGAAGTCTTTTATGGTGCAGATATAAATTCAACAGATTATGGCAGGTAAGTAATAACATTCAGTTGATTTCTTAGCACTTATTTTTTTTTTTTACTAATTCCTTTTTTTCTTTATAGTGGTTTCCCTTGTAGTGAACGTGACCGAGATGATCCATACAGTAAAGATCCTTGGAATCTTCGAAATCTTCCTAGATTAACTGGTTCACTACTTCATGACATTACTCCAGCCATCCCTGGGATGATGTTGCCTTGGGTATATGTTGGAATGATTTTCTCTGCGTTTTGCTGGCATGTTGAAGATCATTATACCTACAGCATAAATTACATGCATTGGGGTGAGACAAAGACTTGGTATGGAATTTCGGCCTCACTTGCATCAAAGTTTGAAGCAGCCGCGAAAAAGCTCTTGCCAGAACTATTTCAGCACCAACCAGACCTATTGACACAACTGACCACTATTCTAAATCCAGAAAAGCTGGTCCAAGAAGGAGTTGAAGTTTTTGCTATAGATCAACGTCCAAATCAGTTTGTAATAACATTTCCACAGGCGTATCACGCTGGCTTTAATCACGGGGCAAGTTTAAATCTTTTTATAAATGAGTGCTACCAAGGGAAAAACCTGTCATCGAGCTTTCAATTATATTCTGTGCCCAGTTTGTTCCTTAAGTGCCGTCTAAGGAAAATCTATCATCAGGCTTTCAATTATATTTTGTGACGACTCTTTCACAAAATATAATTGAAAAAACCCGATGATAAATTCTCCATAGACAGCATTCATGGAATAAACTGGACACAAAATATAATTGATAAGTCAGATGACAGGTTTTCCCTTGGCAACACTAAAATGAAAAAAGCTGATTCC